GTGTAACTTTTTACTCCACAACACCAGTCAAATGCTTCCTTTTGTGATCTGATGTGGCTTCTTGTCACAGAATGAGGCAGAAAATATGTTCCATCGGCTACTTTAAAAAGAATACATCAATTAGCAATGGATTATAAATATACTTAATTATTATGAAAATACTAGAGATGGCTTGAATAACACAGCTAAACTATACTGTCGCAGTCGAGTGTTTATTGTCATTGTTTTATAATTCAAAACGTTTATATGTTCTGTGTACTCGGTGTAAAAAATTATAGTCTGCCTCGACCAAACTTCCACTCCAAATTAAACTATTCTCCTTTCTCTACAAAGAGCTTAATTATCATAGAGATAATTCTTTCTGTAAATAGTATCTCCGGAACGTTACTTCGTCACCTATAGCGTGGGAGCGGCAGTAGGCCATCAAGAACCATCTGCTGACCAAAAGGGTTCTTGAATATAATTGCTAGGGATTCTAGGTAATCCTATCACCTGAACATTTGGTTGTTTCCACCTGAAAGACGATCAAAGACGTGGAAACGGAAGGCTATCACTTTCATTGTTATCCGCAATTTACATTTAAGACGAAACTTCATTTACATGCGGGAAGTTCTAAGTGTAGAAAATCTGGGAGTACTACAAGAGAATGTGTTGAAAGAAAGGAAGGATCTACCCAGATTTGTCACTCAGTTGTCATCAGGGGAATGGCGAGGAATAGACACGAATGCAAGTGACAAAACTCCATTTGGGTTTATCTGTGAGTGTGATGCTTTTAAAAAACAACCATTGTGTAGAGCACCCCAGAATAGCTATGAATTGTGTGAAATTAATTTAACTAATCTTCACAATAATTTTACTAGGGTAATAGTGTCAGACAAGAGAACATGTATTACAACAACTCTAAATCACTTCTCCATTTTTATTGATAATAACCAGACATTCTGTCCAATTAATGATACTTCATTTTGTATGACCCCTGAATCAACCTGGTCTATAGGAAATTATAATTTTCCATATGTAAACACCACCCAACAGGCAATGTCAGTAAAACCAGAGGAACAATTGGGCTTTGTGGAAGAAATTCCTGAATTTGATTTTGAGTTACCAAAACTGGATGATATGCTGATGTCATTAATGCAAAGGAAAGATAACCACATTGTTAAAGCTCAACAGGGTCTTGATGAGAAGGATAAGGCTTTAACTAAACAAATGCATGATGGAGATTTAGTCATTGCATACTCTGGTTTGATTTGGGATGTAACTTTTAAAACTGCCGTTTGTGTTTGTATCTTTCTAATTATGTGCCAATGCATGATGCTATGTTGTATGTGTTCTATGGTGAAACGTCAAATTGCAGATAGTTCAATGATCAATATTGGGCGCTCCCGTTGGTTGTGATGGTTCTTGATTACCTTTTCCAAACCCTAGAAACATTTTCCAAATTTAAACACTCCTGTTTTTTTTTAACAAGCAAAAACCCTGTGATAATTTTGCTCAAATGAAACGGAGCTGTAACCAGTGTGCATGACATCGTCCTCATCATTTTTCTTACATCGGTTACAGCTATAATAGTGGCGCCTTTGTCCATATAAGGGATTTCCTGGAGGGTCATGAGTTCCGCTACTTCTGTGACTGGATATGTGGATTTTCTGTGCGAGGGCGCCCTCTGGCGTCCAGTATGAATGAAACCGACATCATGTGTTTATAATGCTAATGGCCAATCCATCATTTTTGGGGGATTTTTTATTTTTTATAAGTACCGGTTTAGGCACCGGAACCATTTTAAAAGTATCGATTTGGCACCGGTATCGAACAAAACCCAAACGATACCCAACCCTATTTGTAGGTTTAATTTAAACATCTTACTAATTAAAAATTGAACAACTAGATAATGCTATCTTTCAACAGTGTTAAAAACATCACAAAAGGCAAGTTAAGTTTGCAAGGTATAAAAACTCATGCACTGTCCTGTCCGAAACACTCTCACAAAGTTGGGCCATCTTTATTGTTAAGCCCTGACATTTTGAGACATAATGAACAGCTGTTGTGTTTTCTTCCACTGTCATATGTTTGAATTTAATTTTTTTCTCAAGACAATATAGAAGTGCTGTCATTCAGCATTGTCACAGTGTGTGACTCTCCTCATTTTGTGTTTCTCTCTCTTTCAGACTATGATTACATCTCCCTGCATGGAGGCGAGGATGCCCACAGCCAGTCTGAATTTGATAGATCTTCCACGATTCCTCGCAACAGCGACTTGGGTCTCAATTACCGCAAAATGTTTCAAAGCAAGAGGCCAGCTTCTACCGTCAGTCTGCTGATGGATCCGGAGCCTATAGGACCCCACACGGCCACCATCCGCCGTAAACCCTCCAGCAAGCCCAACATCCGCCGTGGTACCATCAGTGGAGGAGTGCCTATCCCCATCTCCACACCACAGGTCCTTCATCTATTAAAATTCTACTCAGAAAATTCTTAAACAGTGTAAACGAGACCTGCTGGAATATCTAGCATCATTTGGAACCAATCTTGAAGGATTGGGATTTTTTTTTTTTTTATTATTATTCCAGCGCCAGTGCCCCCACAGGACATAAAAATACCTTTCTTTCTGGATTTTAATGCACTTACAGCACACGCTACTGTTCAAAGTTTTGGGTCAGTAAATTTATTTATTTATTTATTTTTTTGAAAGAAATTAATACTTTTATTCCACAAGAATGCATTAAATTGATCAAAGGTAAAACTAAAGACATTTATAGTTTTACAAAATATTTCTATTTCAAATCAATTCTGTTCTTTTGAACTTTCTATTCGAAAAGAATCCTGAAAAATGTCCTGGTTTCCAGAATATTAGAATGATTTCTGAAGGATTATGTGACACTGAAGACTGGAGTAATGATGCTGAAAATTCAGCTTTGCAAAAAATTACATTTTTAAAATAGATAAGTTATTTTAAATTGGAGTAATATTTAATATTACTGTTTTTACTGTATTTTTTAAAATCAGATCGTTGTCTGCCATGTTGAATGCAAGATTTTTTATTTATTTATTTTTTATCTTGCCAATACCAAACTTTTAAATGTTAGTGTATATCCAGTATATTATTATTAATGTATTGAAGTATGTGTTAAAGTAATGAAATACAAGTAGGGTTCTGATCCATTAGGACTCTAAAATTAAATAAGAATCAAATCCTGTATGAATTTAAATCGGAATCTTTTTTGTTCTTGGTGAAGTTCCTTTATATTTCAAGTTTTGAAGGAAATCCCAATTTGATTTTGTAATTTGTTTCCCAATTATTGAATGTTCACAATATTTTAGATGTATTTGCTTAGCTTTTTTTAATTTTTGTTTCATGTTAAAAAGAGGCTGTATGTTTTTATGTTGCCATTGTTATAGAATTAATAAGAAAACTTTCATCCTGCTCTTAGGTGCCGCTGAAGGCATCTGTTTCCACCGCCGGCCTAAGCTGCAGTGAGGAGACCATGTGCCCTCCTGGGGTGATGCAGAGTAACAGGGTATCTGGTTCTGATCTGGTTCACACCAGACATAATTTCTGTACGTCCACTCAGAGTCTGAGTGCAATGCCGCCTCCATACTATTCCATGTTCCCTGGGCAGCCACCAGTGGGTGGCACAGAGCCACTGTATCAAATGAGCAAGCAACAGCAGTATGCACTGCACCAACAGCAACAGAGGCAATATCATCAACAACAACAATATAATCAACAGCAATATAATCACCAAAAGTACAATCACCAACAGCAGTATAACCAACCACAGGAGCCGCAATATCAACAGATACATCAAAAAGAGCTGCAGCAGAAACTCGAACGGCAGCAACATCAAAATCAGCAGCAGATTCAAAACATGGCAGCTCACAATTCCAGCTTGCCCACTGAAAGCGGGAAGATCAATTCTGCTCAGCCTGGCGTGGATCATGTCGACGGCGTTCCTGATCCAGGCAGTGGAGGTGACATGTTGAGTATGATCCGAAGAGTCAAACTACGTCGGACACTAACCAATGACCGTTCGGCGCCTTTAATCACCCCCAACCATCTCAACTGATTTTCTTTTTCCCGCTCTTTGAATTCATCTGTGACTTTTTACGGTTGCCTTTGCCTTCTTTTCGTTTAGCAACTTTTTCATGCCTTTTATTGTTGAGGTTTGCATAATTTTTTTTTTTTTGTTTTTAAGTGGGGGCAAAACGGTTGACTAATGCGCGACTCCTGCCACATGAAAAGACGTTCGATTTAACTTCACTGTGCGCGAAGAACAACCGTTTTGCAGTGTCTGTGCAAATGTTGCCTCTCAATAAATTAAAGTTAATTCTGCAGGCTGTGTGCTTTACATATATATGTAAACCTATATATATATATATATATATATA